TTTAGTTGTTTATGATAAGAAGCAGACAATTGCAGGAAGCCTCCTATAGTACTTCCTTTACAGAACTAAGCACAACTGGAATGTGTGATTGCTTGCTTATAAGACATAAGATGGCAGATTCTACATTTTTGATAGGTTTTATCTGGGGAACCATAAACCTGGACCTGGTCACCTCCGTTTCAGTCTCATCCCTATTTTTCAACTGTCAAATTGGCTAGTGGCAATGCGAGTGCCAAAATATGTGATAATCATCACTTGGAGTAAATATGATGGGAGAGTGTAGAGGGTAGGGCATCATCTTCTCATCTTTTCAGCACCCAGATTTGCGGTATGAGTGTTGATTTCTCACATTGCTATGGATGAATACACCTCTTCCAACCGACTAGTCCTGACCATTGCGAGAGACGAGATTTTCCACTCGTAACTTCGAATTGTATCGCGTCGTGTAGGGTAGCCTTCAGCTAGCAAATAATCTCCTCTGCAGTTGACCGCACACTTAAGTAAGGAAAGCACAGTTTTACGGGTTGTAGTGGTGTATTCCTTGGAAGGGTGGAGAAGGTAGGGGTATTGAGTGGATTCACAGGGGACAACTAGTAACGTCCTTTTAACTGCCGTTGCATCATAAAAGCTATTGCCAATTACTAGTCAGCAAATAACCTTTCATTAATGTCATTTTCTTGAATACTGCGAAGTGAGTGGTCATTGAAGCCTATTATGTCACTTGTTACTGGTACATGGAAGCGGCATCCATTTACCCAGCTTCTATTTACAATTTTTCCTTCCAACTCGGTATACTTATAGACGAATTTTTTTGCCATTCACGTCAAATGTGATTGAGTTTTTCCCTTGCCACGTCGATCCCCAATTAATGTTTTGAAAGCCACTTGTAAAATCCCTTATTGGTAAACATAAGAGGTCTCTTTGAGTCAGATCTATCCATCTTTAAGTGGTTTTTCACCAGAACCAAATTCTCTTAAAACCATTTCTTTTAAGAGTCACGTTCTGTAATCACACTTCCAAATGTTGCACACGTTTGATAAGAAGCTTCTGCAGCTTTCGTAACTGAGCTACAAACTCTGTTTGTAGAGCCAACCAGCCCAATCGCACCCATCAGGAAAATGGTGGAGACCACAATAAGTGTCGCTATACAGATTGACCGACGCATACCCGTGCCATTGGCTAAGAGTTAAAAGAAGTCATTGCGGAGAGCGAGTGGGAGTAATTTTTGCCGCCTTATTCTATTACAGGAGGACAGCACGCTATCTTAGGGTGTGATGACTATGTTTTGAGTCCTTATCCATAAAGTAGGGGAAGAGGGCAGGTTCTAGATGTTGGAAACGGTAATTGCGGGAGTAAAACTTTATTTTCCACGGAACACTGCACTCTCCACTTAAGCCTGTCATTGTTGAATGGGTGGCTGTTTTAAGCATCAACTCATTGTAGAATTAGGTATCGTGCAGTACGCTTAAGTTGGCCATTTGAGAATTTGAATAATCTTATTTCTTCTTTAGCCTACGATGTCTCCTCGATGCTACCTCGGAATCGTAAGTACACTGTTTCTCATACTTTTGGCCTTGTGGGCACTTTTTTTGCCAGATCTAAGTCGTGATTGTACTCAAAATTAAAGCCAAATGCTGTGTTCTTTTTTTTGCAATCAAGATATCCCTCTAGCGGTTCACAAGAGTAAGTTTTTGGTGATGTTTATGGCATTGCTTCGTTCGGTTTTATTGCTATCAGAAAGAACAACTAAGGGCAATAGTTGTTACTAAAGTTTGTACGGAATTTAATCTGCATTTGTAACTTCGAATTGATAAATATTTAAACGGATCCGATTCCTGGTTTTGTTTAGCCAAATTTTACCTTGGACTCTCATTAAATGGAATTACCGAGTGCAGTGACATGACGGTGACTCCAAGCAAACTGCCATGCTCTACAACAACTTTGTTATAGAACCACTGGAGTGTTGTGAAATTCGGGTTAAAATGTGAGAAGCCTTTCCGGTTGGGCTGTCATCGGTATCATCTGCTCATGAAGTCGCCTGTTGCTTATTGTCCGTAATACCTTGTCACTGCAGGGGGATTGACTAGGCGTGTTTGTGTGCCTTGCAGGAAGCCTGGCATCCGTCTCCACCATCGGAGGAAAATTCGAAGTGACACCGACAATCAGAAAGCCCCAGTCCACCAGAAACCTGGGCTCATACCTTGAAAAGGGTTTTTGAAATCCCTCCCACCATAACTAAGCACTATTATCTCCCCTGCTGTTCCATTTGCACAGCGTTTTTTTTTCACCATTGAAATATACGAAACACGGCCGTTGGCAAAACATGCAAAGCTGTTCTTTCTTGGTTTGCATAGTGGGACGGAAACTGAGATAAAGTATGCAAAAGAGCCCCAAAAGTGTTGTAATATGTGGGCCATTGTGCACATATTTTGAGTCCCGGTGCGTAAGTTGTGTTGTGAGATGGATGCATCTAATCTTCGTGGTTGCCATGGCGACACACGGAGGCTGTTAACACGTAGATAATGGAGACGGTGTACTGGGGAACCGGGATGTTGGACAAAAAACCGTGGCAACTAAAGACTCAGCTTGGTTTAACTGCAGTTGAAACAGTTTGTGTTCTGTTCTGCGATCGTCAGGAGGAGTAGTGAAAATGAAAATCTACTTGGCAGTCAAGAATATAACACATGTGAGCAGTGCAGGTGGTAGGAACGGATGTCCGACTTCTCAAGACAGGGAAACCTAGGATGTATCAATATGGGGGCTTCAAGTGGTCCATTTGTCCAATGGGCGCTGATTGGTAAGCTTATCACATTTGCGGTTCAGTGCAGAGGTTACGGAGCATGTTCAATCAGGACTAAATAGAAGCATTCAAAAATGCGGCAGCACGCATCCGGTATGAAGTTGCTTTTTCCATTTCCTAATTTGTATCAGAAAGGTATTGAATCTGATTTTACCCCACCAAATCTTTGTTTTGAATGTCTCCCAATATATACGGCTGACAGGCATTGCGTGATTGCCTACTCTTCGATGTAAAAAGACATCATCCACGTCTGAATATTTTGCTTCCAATCCATTACGGAATAGGCGTCAAGTCATTTATGCTGGAAGCCTTCCATAGTTGAACTTTCCAACGCTGGCAACCGACTTTGCAGCGATATATCAACATTGTTTAAATTACATGTCTCATGTGGATGGTAATTAGATAAAAATGGTAAAATTTCCAAATCTTGACATTAAACGTCACTTAGTTATTTGATAATTCCTGTGATGAATTGGGGAGTGGAGAGTGCTGCATTACGATATCCGCTATGCGGCCACTGCTATTGGAAGTCAACCGCCTTTTTGGATGGGTCGAATTGTCTAAGTCAAGGTGAAGAGTGAAATACAAAAATCAGCCCCGTCTCCAAGACCAAGAGTCCTTATGCCTGTCAACCTAGTTTTCATTAAGCCGCAGGAGCTGTTAGGTTAAGCTAACTCTTGATGGCATTACCATATGAAGTGGGATGATGTTTTGTGTTTCTCTTTAGTATGACAATCAGACTAGCCTACTATCCTGACCTCTGGTGAACTATGGACAAGTTGTCAACAGGGGACTCGACCTCTCGGTGTCACCAACACCATGACAGCTTAGTCATGCGCCTAACTCTTGGACGCATTTCCAGCTCACTTAAACTACTCGTAGGGAGTCATTTGTGCATTCCATTATCATAAAATGCACAAATCCAACTGAAGTTCGTACTCTTGTGGGCTTATGCGTGTTTGAGTAGCTACCTTTGGCAATAAAATTAATGCATAACTCACCCCTCCGCATACTAGGGACCGAAGAACTACCGAAGTGCAGCAGATGTCGTGCGGTTTTGACTAATTTTACAAGAACTTGAAGGAGACACATCTAACTTTAGTCAATTCGCAGGCTTTCTTTAGTCTAACAGAAATACTTTTCTATTTAGATAAACTGGCAAATGCTCTACCATTTTCATTCACGTGTTGGCTCCAGTACCAAGGCGATTAAAGCGCTCAAAGCTTTGGTGATATCAGTAGTAATATACAGTGTTCCATTGTTTCAGCCTAGACCTGTATAAGGGTAGCAAACTTTTACCCGAAAGCGTACTATTAGTACTTCCTCAGAAGGGTAGTCAGAAAGCGGCTGCATAGCTCCGTATTATTGTTATTCTATGTGCTGTATTGGCTACCGGACATCAGATACAAAATTCCACCAGTATGCTGGGCTTGTTTCAATGTCATCAAGATTGATGTGATCGTTGCTTTCCGAACGTCCGTGGAGAACCGTCTGCTACGATGCCGATGCATAAGGCATTTATGATAATCTCGTGGCCGAACTACGGGGGTACCATTGCACGTAGCAAACCACTTGAAAAACGAGTTGCTCGTACAACCGGTATGTCAGTTACTTTTGGGGAAAAGAAGCTAAGGTCCAAAACGTTACTGCTTCACTCAAACTCGGTAATCGTGGGTCCATCAAAAAGTATACCACACGCCGTCCATCTTATGAGATCATCTTCGTGAAGCTATATTTAAAAGAAAAGACTCATTTTTTGTTGACAAATCATTTTATTGGTATAAAAAGGAGGAACTTGCCTTCCGTTGTCCATTTGGTCCACAACAATCCATAGTACAAAAATTACTAAGGTTCGAAGGAATTTGAGGAATTAAGGGATAAACGACTGATAGTAGCAAGCTATATTATGACTGCAACTTAACTAAACTACAGCGGTTGGGACCTCTTCGTGATTGATTCTCCACAGCCCCCGAGCCACAGTCTTTGATGCTTACAATGGGAGATGACAGGTGCTATGCAACTCGGCAGCTACGCGCACTGCTAGCCACGCCTCTACTAGCAAGTCTCCTCGACTTCGGTTCAGCAATTTTAAAACCTCCCGTGGGTAAGCACTAATTCCTCCTTTTTATAGCAGCTGCTTACTCTCAAGGGCAATTTGATTCCAATTATGAGAATCCTCTGTGGATTTATCCCAGTCCAAACTATTTGAGGGTGGCGAAGTTCTCCTTTGTTTTGAAGCTTGTTCCACTAATTTGATCCCAGATGAAATTTTTGCGTCAATTCAACAAGCACATCCAAGATGCTGCTGCATCTAACCCTCATCGTGCTCCACTAAGATTCCACGTCTCCTTTTCCTTTCCCACTCAGACCTCGTCGATATTTCAAGGAATCCCACGAACAACTAAGGTCTGTGCTAATTTCTTGAAGTCCACCGCATTTGGGAATAGCTGAAGATTATACAGTAGAGCAGCTCTATTGGCAGGCCACTGTTGTTCCTCCTCTAATGCTTGAGAATTTATGAAAATGGCAAAGTGAACAAAAGTGTGTTCAAGGAAGTGAAACTGGATTAGTGGTTGTGCTCAGAATACTCGAGACAAATCGCCATATCTGATCATTCACTCCCTAAGAAGATGCCGATAAGCATTCATTCCATTCATAAACAACTGCCTACCCTCGAGAGCAATTCAAATCCAAGTATGAGAGTCCCTTAAGGATTGGTTTTTACCCAAATACATTCACCCACAAACTACAAAAGGTTCTATTCGCTGTCCCTTGTGTGTCCTTTAATACCAAAATAAATTATGCAAGTGCTAGGAAAACGATTCACATTACGAGACCTCTTGGGGCAGCTGATCTGTATCTCCACCTTTTCGTTTATGCTCGTGGGCCATTAGATTGGCTACAAATATTCAAGTGAGTAATTTCTACCAATTTAAGTATTTGTATAACCTTTTTAAAGTTGGGGCATATTTAGGTGTTCCACATCTAACAGTTAGCCTTGCATAGAATTTGCCAAGCCATGGCTGATTCTTTGTTAAATTGCTGCTTTAAAGTTTTTCTGACAAGTTTTAACAAAAAAGAATTGATTTGCATCGTTAATAGCAAACTCGATTACAAAATCACTTTTCATTGTCCTGACCCTTCTCCAAAGCTATAATAAGCCAAGGTAGCATAAAGAACAGGAGGGCTGGGAGGCCACTGGTTTTGAGTTCCGAGACTTTTCTGAAGTGGTTTGAAGTCCTAGTAGTATGGCTGAAAATGTACTACTGAGGGGACACTAACATGCTGGCTAGCAAAAATACAACATGCTGAGACTCAATTGCCCTCATAACCAAACAAAGAGGTAAACAAACAAATTTTGAAGCTTCCACATCGGCCATCACAATGTGGTCGGTGCTTTAAAGCAAAAAGGCCCACAAAACAATCACCGCAGTCACCGAATTCGTGTACAACTGGTAGGATACCTGAGAGCGATGGCGGTTCTGCTGCACCCGGAGTTTCACCTCGGTTGGGAACCGTATTGGAGGAAGGGGAGATGTGCTAATCATTGCCTCAAAGCATCGTCATTTAGTAATGGAGGGTGTGTAAAATGGTCTGGTAGGGGTAAGGATTCCTGTCTATTCCTCCAAGCATTCCTGTTCTGACTTCAGTGCTGCCCAGCCATATCCACCTATTTGGGTTCTGCCCAGCTGGTAAAGCAGCGGTGGAGGAGGTACCGCGTGTATATTTCACGCCCACTTTCAAACAGGCGAAGTAGACACCTCCTCAACGAACCTTACCAGCTGATTTTGGGCTAATATCGCTTCATTTGTCAATGGGCATCTCCGCAGAACATTTTCATTCGTTCTGTTCTTCCATCCACAGCATATATCCTTAACCGTCACGTTATGGTTTCGTATTCAGCAATAGAAATCAAGGATATTGTCTTTTGGAATCGGATTTGGTTTCCGCCTGCCACTACCACCGATGAAGCATCCCACTTCTTTTTCAACTTCATGAGTAACATTGGTAGGACAGAAAATATAATACTAACTTAAAGAAGGGCTGAGAGGCTCCTGTCGTGGTCCGGAGGCCCAACCGGCCAGCTGAACTACAGTCTGTGGGGACTTAAGTGCCCATGCAGTCAAAAGCATAGTTAAATGGGCTGTTCAGGCATTGCAGGGTGTGTTAACTTAGTATTTTGTCTCCCCGGATCCGATGAAGTCGCCGCTGCACACATGACAAAGTTCATTTAAAGTCATCGAATCTGGTCGCGATGGAAAGGTTATTACTTTACACAAAATGCAACAGGCTGTAAACACTTTTAAAAAGACTCACTTTCCGCTTTACTTTTTTGTTATGATTTTGGAGCTCAAACCACGCGGCTCAAACATGCGCCACGTATTCTCTATCCGCTCATGAAAAATGAATGCACCACATCGAGTAGGAAATAAATTGCTTAAGGTTGAAAGGAAATAAATGCAAAATGCAACCTGTTGAAAGATTTTTAAGCCTTGAGTAGCGTAGCTTTAAAAGGCGAGTTCCCCACTCAGTTGCAGTGGCCGCTTTTGCTCGAAAAATTGAATCGCTTACAAAGTGACGCAATAGTCGCGGGGAGTGTTGTCCACCAAGATCACTTCATACCGTGACCTTTCTCAAAATGTGAATTTTATCTTGTGGACAGAATAAAATGAAAAACGAAGTGCTTTGTAATGCTCTGGTTGCTCGTTTACTCTATCATTGTACACCGGTAGGATGGCATGGCTAGGAGGTCAGGCCATTGCCTCCCTCTCTCTCTTCCATAAGCCGGTAATGCCGATTATGCCCGAGCATGGTGTCTTCCTTCGTCTTCGGGGAAGTCTCTGGGAGCCAGAGTTTCTTGCAAAAGGAGGCTCAAATCATTCCATCCCGTCCCAGATGTCGTTGATTTCTATGCTAATCAATATGTCATTACTAATTTTCATGCCATAGCACCGAAAAATTACACAATAATAAAGGTAATTATAAGTTTCGAAATTTTAAAATGAGTCAGTTAAACAGGAGAAGGATTTGTAAGGCCAAATATTGTACGAATAATCCAGCCTCAAGGCGAGTTTTACGTTGGGTAGTACTTGAGCCTCAATAAAATTACACAGAATCGCTTTGAGTTATGAAAAACTTCTTTGGAGAGCTCCGTGTTATGACGAGTTGATAAATGGGCTAGCTCCGACGTCTTTCGGCATACAAGGTCCGGTCAAACTTGTCATTGACATGAGGCCTCCTCAGTCGCTCTGGTGGAGCTCAACCACAAGTCGGATCCAAACACACTTAAGGCCCTGAAGGCCATTATTCAAGGTTGTTGCCTTTGCATTGGAGCTATTGGCACGATGAAGTGTCAAAATTGTCACTCTATTGTAGTCGCCATCCTCATCCCATTTGATGTGTGCAAGTAAAATTTGTTGTCATTTATTTTTCAATTAGATTTTCATCGATTCTCTGACCATTTGGGTTTATGATATCTAAAATATCATCATCGAAATAGTCAGGAGTAAGAAAAGCTCTGCAACAAGAGTAGACTCCCATTCTGGTCACTGTTTTCCGTCAGTTCATTGATGCAGCTGCTGACAATAACATTTGGTTCCCCAAAGCAACGTTTCAGCTTTTGAAATGCTTCTGTGCATTGTTTTTAGACTCAAAGGCTGTACAGCTTTGGATGCTTTTGGTAGCGATCTAACAGCCAGGCGTGAATTTTCGCCACAGCTGAACGGAAGTTTAGAACGAAGTTAAACCCATTTATGAGGTCGAGAGTGATGATACTCATGAAGAATTTGGGGAAATGGGTTGCTTCGTAGGCCTTTTGGGATTCGGCTGCATAAATGAGGTTTTGGACTTTCCTAAATCCGTCGTGTTCAGAGCAGTCAGTGAGTATCGAACACCGTCTAGTCGATTTGACAGTTCCGCTGTGGACGGGTAAGTTATATTACCATATATGATGGACGCATCTTCTCTCACAAATTCTTGAACTTCTTTCATCATTTCAGGTTTTATGACTGTAAAACATTGCAAAGCGCCAATTTCTAACTGCGTATGTACGTCACATTTAAAACCACCTCTTGCTGGTGGCGGATGAAAGGATCTTGCAAATGCCTATTTGACTACTACCTGTATACCCTTCGGGATACAGACTTGGGACTCGATAGAAATCTTATTTTGGAGAGCTCTTTATATCAGCTAGCAATCTGGCCAAATTCGTCCAATCGCCTCAGAGATCTTGTCGATCTGGGCGCTAACTTATTGTCCCACAATGGCCAGGGAAACAATCACAGGACAAAGCCGTCCTCATCATATTGCCCTTAGTTATAATAAACAGCCACTCTCTAAGGTCGGAAATAATGGCACCAGCAACGGTGAACAAGACCCTGTCCCTTAATGAAGGCAACGCTACCTCAAGCAGTAGTAACTAAGGCGAGAAAGGAGGGAAAAAGATCTAAAATCAGAGAAGAATTAACACCAATTACTGAGCAGGAAAACATTTTGTGATGCTAATTTTCAAACCACAAAAAAACAGCTATTAGGTGTAAAGTTATGTTGAGTCGAAGGTTCATTCCGCTACAAAGATTGGCTATTCAGAGATGCCATTGACAAGGCATGCTGATCAAATGGAAGAGATGGTAAAAAAGAGGTCACAATTCTTTTAAAAAGAGGGGAATGATTTACCTTCGAAACCATCTAAAATACGTTTGGGTTATCTGAGTTTGTCTCGGGGAAAAGTGACTTGTTATTAAACTGCTTGAAAGGGCTGCGACCACCAGCTTAATAAGTTATAGCTCGAGGCGATAAAATGAAGGCAACCTCCGTAAAGAAAGGTTGTACACTAAGCATATGCATCGAGGATACCTAAGTAATGCTTTCCTACCCCATGGCAGGATGTAATAGGGGAGAGACTCCGTTGGATTGTACAGTGGACATTGTCATTTAACATATTAACCAAAAGTCTCACCTGGGTCAACGGTTTTTTTAAGTTGCTTCTTCGAGGAAATGGCCACTATATTCACACAGCAAGCACTAACTACTGAATTCCAAAACTCCACGAATGATTTCCCAATTAGCCACACACGTTCAAATGATGCCTCTTTCAAGAAAGTGAAGGAAGCAAACTGCATGGGTTAATATAATCGCTTGGCTATCGAAAGCTTATAACTCTTAATCTGCGACTCTAGAGCTGTTCTTTCTTCTTATCAGGATATTTCAGGGCCCTGACCCGACGTCGGAACTGTATGTCAATAATTGGCTGTAAAATAACCTATCAAAAGAAAGACGACCTTAGGTAATCAAGTTAAAGTGAATGACAATACAGTTATATTGCTGCTACACTCGACCATCCCATGAACAGATTTTAAGAGGTCAATTTTATGTCAAATATTAACTTATCCAACTGTAATGAGGTTGAAAAGATTCGAGTGAATATTAAATGGCTTAATTTAATGTCTACGTCTAGAATGTCGGGACTTTGAGAAATTCCTGTCACCTCTACTATGGGTGACGGAAGACTCTTTGAATTGACATCATCGGCTTAGAGAAAGCCTTGGAAGACAAGGAAATGTCGTCTATTCAGATGTATTAATAATGAGGCTCATAAACTCTCAATCAGCTCTCGCGGTTGAGAGGGAATTGCCTGCTTACTGACTATCGTTATAATGGAGAGGTGAGACTGTCTCCCCTACACCCACCATTTTCCCCTCCCACTTCGCCTAGGAATTGTCTTTTTCTCCTTACATTAGGCAAAGTGGGTGGATGGAAAATGAGGGCAGGGTACAACTATTGGTTACTATGTTCAATTTTTTTGGTTCTAGAGACAAAGCGTTTTTTACAAGTGGAATTGAGAACAGTAGCGCACAACCTATTTGGTAAAACAATTAGTTGATATCTACATGAACTCGGAATGAAGGTACTAGGCAGTTGGATGGCATCCACATGCCTTAACAGCAGAAGTCTGATAAAATCTTCCAGATCTATCAATTAATTCTAAAATTTTATGACCTCAAAAAATGTTTCTAATAGGAAAAGAATTCATGCCACCTTGAACCAGCATAAAGTGTCAAATGACGAGTTTGCGTGCCAGACGAACTCGGTTGAAATTGGCAATAGAGCAGTAGAAGCTTCTTGCAAATCCACTTCATAACAGTCACTGCAGTTTGACTATGCGGTAACGGAACAATTACAGGACAGAACAGAGTTGCACCGTGTTCGGATGGATCCCATTTTCTCTCTTGGGGGAAAGGGGTAGGGGCTGCCATAAGCACGCTTTTTTCCCCCAAGTGTGCAAAGATGAAATCGAATTGATGTTAAACTTGAAAAATCAGCCATTTGGTCTACACCTGCACCGCCCGTGTTCCATATGCACTAGCAGATCGCATTAAGCCTCAAGGAGCATGAATTTGGTCTCAATTTTTTCATTCCGCCTTATAGTAGTGCTTCGTGTTTTGGTTTGAGATGAGTTTTAGCTTCCCCATTTTAATCTTGAGCAGACATTGCACCAGAAGGCATCTCCATTCACTTCACTCACTACCCATCTGACACGCCTAAGTCACGCCCCACTTCATCCCCAATGGGCCGAGCCCGCATTATGACTGTGAGCGGTGAACTAAAGTGACAGGTATCCACCACAAGCATCAATGGCGGATGTTGCCTATTTACTCGGGACAACATGAATGCGTGCATGACAACCTCTTGACAAAAAGCCATTTGAAGGAGTCTGCTATTCTTGCATCACTACGCATGATGGTGTGCCGCCGATAAGGATGGAAGGGTGATACTGACTCTCCCCCCACCTCCTGTATCCTAATGTCACCGAGCCATCAGCATGTTTTTGTGACATTTAGTGAAATAGGTGAATGGGAATAGACCTGGAATAGCATTTAAGGTGACTATAGCTAGAATTAATGGGTAAATTTGGATGTGTGTTGTAGGAATGCAGTTGCTGATGTCTCGAAAAGGTCTTTCACCAAACTTGGGTAGTAGTGTCATTAAGTGCTTTAAGGATAGGATGAAAGTAGAATACAAATTTGTCACAAACATAGGCATCATGATAAGAGGATATTTTCTAATATTTTGTTACTTTTAAGCAGATACTCCCAAGAATGGTAGCTAACGAAATGATAATCCCCTCTGTGGGAGATCCTCGGTTTGTGGTACTACCTTATAAAACATCCCTCCTCCTCCTCCTCCAACACATTTCGCCTTGTAGGTGACAGGATACTTTGAAATACCAAACAAACCGACTGCATGTACTAATACCAATAAAATAGGTTGCATTCCACCTCTGGTCCGAAGTCATTGCATCATCCTCACTGCTGTCGCGGTGTTCCCTGGCCCACCGCAACAAACGTCGGGATAGCAGAATATAGCCAAAGTAGATGAATGGCCACAGAGAGCGCTGGAGACAAGGCAGTTGTTGTTACGTCAATTTGTATGCCTTATCGCTCCTTCAGTGATGGCTGAAGGTGGTAACATCGCATTGCCGTAAAGACACATGTGCTAGAGTGTATCACCGTCATGATAGGACTCTACCATCATTTTAAAAGGGAACTAGTCAATAATTTACCTTAGTACGTACTTTTCTAAGAATTTTCCACTTTTAAAGCCCAACCATTTTATTTATGACTTTAATATCTATTTGTATAGTAGGGCCAGAACTGCGTTGACCTTCGTCTCATGGAGAAACGTCTAGGCGATATTTTGTGTCTTTAAATAATAAGGCGTAAAAGCTAAAACGCACCCTCGCCATACTTTAAGTCCAGATCAAATAAAATCCACTTATTTGTATCGGGTTCCACTTTAAAGCTATTAGCTTAATCAAACAATCTCTTTATCTCAAATTGAGGATGACAACGGTTTCCAAATTATCAGACATGCCACTAACCAGCACTTCGATGGGGCGACTATTCAAGTACATTTGCCATCATGTGAACTTCGGATGCCGTGTCAGTTTTATTTTGTGGGTTACTTGGCCAAAACATCCTCTTTTACTGCATTGACGAAGCGGAATCAGTCTGTAGGCGTTACTTTTGGATAGGATCTCTCGGTGTCCGAGACGTTCGACTAACTCAACACAGGCCATTCATCTTTACCGGCTTCGTAAACAGGCGCCCACTCTAACATTGGCAGTTGCTTGAGGATTCATTTGGCAAATTGTGAAAACTAATGGTACCTCTTAAATGCCCGGATTGCGTTAATGCGGACACTTGATTAATGGCAGGCTCAAACGGGGCTGCAAATAGAATTGTCCATTGATGAAGTTCAAATTCTACTTGTCCGATGTCAGGTATCAGCGCATCCCCACTAGTACATTCTTGGGCTCAGTGAGAATTGCTTTCCTGCTGGCCACTTTGTGGAGTTAAAATTCGAAGATATTTTTTATAACAAAATTTATTTGATGATCATGACTTTTGCATTCTCCCTCTTTTCGTAACAGGATTGGTCAATGGGGAAGTTTTTTCTCCCATGTCATATGAACCAGGGCACAAAGCTCAAGAGTCATAACCACTTAACTGACGCGTAACTGGTGGAATTAAGCATGCACGAAGTGTTGGAGGGCAAAGTTGCTCCATTTTTTTCAGAGACCAACATAAAATTGTATTTTTTTTTCAACTGACCCTTGCTTTTACTTTAACCGACCTTTGGATAGAAAAAAAGATTAATGAATAACGTAATTTACTACAGTGTTGCTCAATTCGAGTCGGCGCCTACATCTATGCCCTTAGAACTGTAGAGGAATGGGGCAGTAGATGAATTAAATTTACTCCTTTCTGATTTTGAGTGTACAACGTGATGTATGTATTATCAAACGGTAGTTTTGCCACATTTGTTATGCCTATGGCGCCCTAAGACTTCACCAAATCCCAACGGATTCATAATACTTAAGCGGCTGATGCATTGCAGACATACAGACTTGATTTTGGCTATTAACATAACTGAAGATTAGGTCGCTCAGCAGAAATACAATCTGCGGTGACTGCATTGACCGGGTAATCAAATACAGGGTTAAATAAACTATCAACAAATTGCACAGCTCCCCTTTCCTTTTGAACGTCGTCTCCGACGCTTCCTTTGGTCAACCTCCCTGGGACCAACACCAATAGTCATCGAATTTGCTTGCGACTGAAAAGATGCTTGACGCACCGTCATTGTTATCTCTTGGCTATTCCGATGGAACTGGAGTTTCATCTTGTTTAAAAACTGCATTGAGGGAAGGGAAAACGCACCGCCATCATGTATGCCCATCGCTTACCGTAAGAACGGTGATCCAAAAGCAGAGTCATTTGATAAAGGAAGGGGTTTTAAATAGTTTTGGTGGGAGAAGGGTTCGCGTCTATTCCATCTTGCTGCTTTGATACCTTTTCAATGCTGTACAACAACACCCACCTGGGTTCTACGCAGCCAGTAAAAGCTGAAGGGGGAATCTGGTGTTCCCTTGGTTATAACAAGCTTTTCCAGACGGTCCTCAGCTAGTGTTGTCTCTATTTGTTAATAGGATTCCCGCAGAACATGGGGTTGTGGTAGCTACCGAAGGTAGACATCATTTTTAACCCTTCCATTAAGGGTAGTCACAGATTATTCCATCCTCAACATATGCCCCTCTTCTCGCACACTACTATTTAGTATTAAGAAATCAGGTTCACTTTTTAACGCCATCAATGCGGGGCCTCAAGACTTTCCTGAGGGCGAAGGAAGAAACGATGCGAGAGCAGATTATGCATTTTCGACATACAGAAGGATTAAGGACGACTAGCATGACCCAGAAGAGGCCTTGCCGCCCAGTGGAAATATAACCACAGAGCTTTAAGTCCCATTGAAACTAAAATGAAGAGTTGAGCAAATTATCCAAGTATAAAGAAATCCATTGCCTACCTCTCTCCTCCTACCTCAAAACTATAAGCTAATGCATTTTTTGAGAAAGTAAATTACTTGAACCTTAATTTGAAATGGACTTTAACTTAATATTTCTTACTCTCGCTCGAAGGATATCCTCTGAAAGTTGTGCCACTGGTTGGAGCGTGCTTTCAACAGTGGGTGTAGTTAAATTAAAGATACCATTGCTTTTGGAGCTTTGGTGAGTGCGTCCTGCTAATGAATATTGCGTGCAATTCAGTTAGTTAAATCTGAGGAAATTGCAGTTAACTTCTTCCTTTCGTGCATTTCACAGCAAAATTAACCACATTTAGTGGATGACGTTGGTGGACAAGCACCACTAATCCATTAACACAAGGCGCAATAAATGCTGTACGAAGACTTCGATTTCATGGGAAAGCCTACACTGCGAGGATATTCGATGGGTAGGTTGACAGATCCACATTCTCCAAATTTACGCTGACATGTCCCATGCCCATTTATAAGTCCGCCCAGTGGGTTCCTAAGTCGCTTTCTGTCGAGGATTCACGTTTAGAAACCAGTGGCAATAAGATCCACCATGTTTATCAGAGCAAATAAGTCATATTTCCAGGCTGTCTACTGGCGTTTACTTGCCTTTTACAATGACATTTTGTGATTACATGGTCAGTATGAAACTACTGCACCAAGGCAATAAAATGGCATTAGAGGTTGAGTACACCTGACAAGCCAATATTACTGAAACTTTTATTCATGCCAATTCCACAGATTATTTCCGACCCCTTGGTATTATGCATAAAATCTCTTGACAAAAGTTCGTGCTGTCCTCCATGCAGCAGATCCTGACAATAGTCACATAGAAAAGTAATTTGGATGAATAATATTTCTTAGGGGAAGTAACTTCAAATTCGACACGGGACCTGCAGAGCATCAAAATTGACAAAAAACATTCTACTAACATTCCTTAAGTCCTGTTAAAAGTTGATCATCCTTAACGCCTCAGCGTGACCTCGAAACACTGCCCGCATAATTGGAGGGCAAATCATCGTTGTTAAAGTTTTCTAACATTTCGCCCCTAACACTTGAGTGTAGCACTTTGAGACCTCCTTCAAGATTAAAGAGGACAATGCTCAGGCGGAACATGTATTGTCGACGTACAGAAGGGCTGAGCAAGCTACGGGCATGGTCCAGAGGCAATGCCACCCGACGGAAGAACAATACCCGTGCCTTTTGGCGCTTGCGTAACCAAACCGAAAAGTTAAACAAACAGTCGAAGTATTACATAAGGACAACTGATAAAATTTGATGTAGAATTGGTCCATTTGTTAGATTTACTTCAATCAGATAATAAATCAGGATTTTCACCCCTTACCTAATCCCCTCCATTGCCTGCTGCTCAAACCTCTTTTGTGCCATATTATTTGCTTTAGGACCATTAATAACTTGTTTAATCTAATCACACCTAAAGTTGGCTCGAGTTTATTGTTGATATTTGGGATAGGGTGCAGTTAGTCAGTACCACAGTCTCAAAAGTTTGAGAATACTTAGTTGCAACCCGCAACAAGGAGGAAACGACATGATGTCTGCACTTCTTTATTTTCAACAATTTTATTTAAACTTATCAAAATTCACCATCTTAAGTGGTTTCCTACTTTTGCTCCATTGGCTCCCAACCGAAAAAGGGACCAAAATCTCCCATTATCTCAGCTTTCGGGGTCTAGCCTCTTTGAATTGAAACAAATGACATCGTCGTGGTGCTAATGTCCATGCTTTCGACACTCGTTTACACTAGGGGAGTAGGCGTGACCTGCATCACAATCGCGCCAGAATGCCTATAAATAAAGAGAATATCCTGAAGCATTGTTTTGAAGGGTAGAACTTGACGTTGCCCGAAAAATCCACAAAATATTCACATCTTACGATCTTCAGCGAACGAATAACATTCTCTCGCTATTTTTGTACTTTTAATGAGTAAGCTGCGCCAATACATAAATTAGGCTAACTCCATATATAAAGTACCATATGAACTGCGGCGTCCAAACGATCGTCGACTTCTCCACGCGAATGCTACACTATAATAAATGTGCTGGAAGACTGACTGACAGATTGACAGGAGCCCCGGTACTAACGTAAGGACCGATTCCTTGCTGGTTGGAAAAGTCTGTGTATTTAAGGCTTTGACTTAGGCCTGGCGTTCTGTTGCATGATTTTCCTCTCCCCTTAAGTGTCATCCTTGCTGCTCCTCCAGTAGTTGCTCTCCAGCTTCTGCCACCACAAGGTAGTCTGGTGTTCAAAGGTTTCCGAAATGTATCTTTTAATTGACCGCTTGTTGATTGTATTACCTTCACAATCTATAGTCCTTTTCGAACGTGACAAAAGTTTGTGGATTCCACTTTTGCCAAACTTTCTGTTTCTTCTCTAGAATTAAAACCTTTGGCCCTGGCCACTGCCACTTTCAAGTTATTTTTATTTTTCAATTGTCTACAGTGGGTTTAAATAGTCGTTTGATTATCTAATGATAACCTGGTGCCAAAAAAGGTTATATTCATGACTTTAAAAGTATCACAGGGGAAATATATGTGGTTACGATGGTTACAGTGTAGAGCTTCGTATTGCCTTGTAAAAACAGGACTTTCTTCCGACTTATTCGCTGGTTCTGATTCTTTCTGTTGAAGGAGCAGACCGCTCTCATCCATGAGTGTTGTTTGGTCTCCAACAACTCCCAGTAATGATGCAAGCGTGGTTTTACTCTGGTGAAGTGGTACGTGCCTTGGAAGTGCAGGGTGGAAAGTGTGTGGATTAAATGAGGATAACTTCCAGTATAATACCTGCTTAAGAATAGAATAGATATACTAAGTCTTATCTTAAGCCAAAAGCACAACGAAGTAGGGGCCAAATTTATGGCCTTCGGAACTTCCTACCATCTGTTAGTGCATTTGGGAAACAAGTAGGGCAGGTACAGGCCAAATGTTGGATCCACCGAGTTAATCATCACCAAATTTTATTCTTAGCCCATTAATGCGAGGATAGCATGTCAAAGAATCCGCGTACTCCTTTACTCTTGGTAGGGAAAGTGGATGCTTCTGAGCACGATGTAAATGCCTTTGGGTGCTCCATCACCAGGGCTACATATTTAAACCACTAAAACCAACTCTGATGCCGCCTAGTGCAACTTTTCTTATTGTTATGCAACTAATTTACGAGAAACTTCCGCTACTTTGAAACTGATTTTAACCCAATTGTACTAGCATGCAAGCTCAAATCATCTCCATCATATTCGATCAACATCTTATGAGAACACTAGCAGACTGACACATGCCTACGCTTTCAAAGGTACGTAAAGAGTCGCATTATAATTAGTTCTACTAGTTGCACCAAGTTCATTGAGGAATTGCGTCGATTTCCTTTCGATTACTTAATGCAGCAATTTTTCATCAAGGAAGGCAAGTATGCAATTCTGGAGGTTGTAATGTGTCTTAAAGATTTCGATGGATTTCCATGTTGAATTCCTTCTCTACAAATTGCATTACAGATGCGGTCATTGTCTACATTCCACTGAAGTCTGATTTCTTCGCACCTTTTGCCTTAGTGCGAAAAATGAAATAAATGCTCGACTTAAAGTAGCCACACAGACCTATTTCATTCGTTCAACCATTCTTCTTTTGCCATTCAGAGACCTCATGACCCACTATTTTGAATATTTTTATCTTTTCACGACGAGAGGTCTTTATTTAACTTTTTAACTTGATACTTTAAAAAACCATGGAGTTCTTCTACAGACGACTATGACTCCTCTGACCATGGCCTCGCTGCATCGTTTGCCATAATCCAAGCGGTGAAATCAGGAGGAGTGTCAAAAGTCAACTTCTTTGCATCGCTTTAATGTAGTTGAGTCCCAGTATCTAATAAGCGACTTAGTAGACATTTTACCTATGCTAGAGCAAATTTCCTCACCATTATCACCATCGTATCGGCTTTTCAGACGACCCACTCTAATCAAGGGGTCACTATGTTTAACCGCAACAACTTACTGGCCACTTGTTGGCGTCCTGCTATTTAGCATACGCACTGGCAACTATGAATGCTGGTTGTACCAGCTGTGCTGCTGGTCTGCCGACACCATGTCCCATTGCGTCCTCAAGGAGGGCTCAAGTGCTAAAGTAACACTGCAAGACAGTAATTAAAAGCACCTTCCTACTTCCTACACTCCTCTTATGGCAGCCAATGCTCCTGGCCCAGTGTATTCGGGCTTTGTCATATTTACAATGTTAATCATAATTGTCTACTCTGCTTTGCTGAATTCAGCAAACCTCGTGAGGACACATTGGCAACTAACTCCAGTAAACAACTTGAACATGTACACTTTAAGGCTCGCTGATACGTGTCGATGGTGTTTTAAATGAGATAATAAACACCGTTTCCATAAGCTATAACTGCTTAATTCAAAGAATGGCGTTTTGCTATTCACCTAGTAGGTATCAATCTAGAATTAGGTCATGAAAAAAGCCCCTTAAATTCCAATTTTTACATTAGAATTCTTTGGCTATTTAAGAAGGCTAACTTGGAGAAGGAACTATCCCTTTAAATAATACCTTAGAAGAACTTATGCATCTGGCATTGTATTGTTAAGCACACCAAGCGCAGTTAGTATACGACCTTTGGTAAATCCTCCATTATCAGCCTCAAGGCCCCTTTTATATGGCATTTTAGGTAAACCAAGTGACGAGAAGGTGGTTTTATTAAAACTTTTTTATTGACTCTTCAAAACTCTTACTTCAGGCTAACCCGATCAGTATGGTAGAGAAGCAGAAGTTTTGTCTACACTCTTATAAAATTTGGCACAATTGCCTACTCCTGTCTTAATTCTTAGAAAATAATTATTCGATTAATTTAAACTCTGACATACTCACTCCAAATATCTGGTATTTTAACAAGCTAAATTTACTCATTGAGACAATTGGTCGCATATCAAGGAATCGTTCACGATAAGGGATCAAAGCAATACGTAGTCACAAAAAGAAGAATAAGACCATTGTACTTCTTATTCTAAGCACATCAAATCTGCTCGCGATTAAGGCCTTTCGCTCTCGTGCGCAACACTCCGTGTTATCGTGCCGGCCACGCGCTAATCAAAAGCGACTCGTTGCGTCAATATTAATTTAGATAAATGCAGATCAAATCGCGCCTAATACCCCACTGTCTACTCCTGTAGTATTCTGATAATCTTTTCCGCTTTAATACTTTCCAATTGCACAGTGTTTTTTGCACACTTTGACATAATATCCTGTGGTGGTTTTGTTCATGTTCTAACTCACGTTTCCACCCGAAAAAGGGTGTCACACGGCCATTTTTCCTAGTAATGAGGCACAAACATTACTTGGTGAAGTCTTATGACATCAGTATGGAAACACGGTTCAATAGCAGTTGCGAACTAACTTATTTTTGTTTTTTGGATTTTGGTGTAAGTAAAACTCCCCTTACTTATTTTAATGAAGCTTGTATAAACTATAAAAATCCTTCTAGAAATCACTTTAGTTTACGCATTTATTACCCATAGATATCAATTTCTACGCAACTGTAGATACGGTTTACTGTGTTATTCTTAAAGTGACCTCTTTGGCCTCATTTTTTCCACATCATACCCAAACCTAGCTTCTCTCACAGCACACCTTGTGTTCGAAACCAGATTACTGGGACCATCAAAAATCGTCGATGCAGTTGGTTTTAAATTGCAGCTCTTATGTAGCGTCCCGAGACTCCCTGAAGACAAAAGAAGACACGAAACTCGTGCAGAATACATATATTCAGCACGGAGAAGGTGTCTGGGCTATTGGCATGGCCCAAAAGGCCGGCCCACCCAGCGAGGTACAAGGGAGCTAATTCAAAGTCCAAAAGTGG